AGGCTGGCAGCCCTAGAATCATTAGCCCAGTGGGCATCTTGCTTCCTCCCCAGTCAACTCACAGAGAGCTGAGGGCCTTGGGGGAGCACGGGTGTTAGAGGCTTCAGAGAGCTGGCTGCACCGTCAGGGCCTCAGGATACTGTGAGTAGGATTGATTCCCGTGGCTTCTCCTCAACATCTGGTACTGAAACCAAGAAAGGAGATAGCAAAGAAGACTCACACCCCAGCTTCCACTGGGATTCCTAGAGGAAATAGATGCTAGTTTTCAGCTTTTTCTGCAACATTCTATCTCTGTCCCCCTTCTCCAAGAGCCCCCATCCAGCCAACAAGAGAGACCAGGCATTGAGATGTGTTAAGAGACATAGTGAGGTGACTACAACACATCTGATTAAAACCCTGTAAAATATTCAGAGGAAACGAAGGTCACAGGGAAGTCCACCAGAGCAAGAGAGTCAGTGTTTGGGAATGACAGTCTTTTTCCCCTCTTTTGTCATGTATTTGAATTTTTTGCAAAAAGTTATATTTCTCATATAACTTTCAAATTTTTTTTAATATGTTTATTGATTTGAGAGAGAGAAACCTCGATTGGTTGCTTCCCATACTCACCCTGACCAGGGATTGAACCCACAACTTAGGCATGTGCCCTGACTGAGAATCAAACCCCCAACCTTTTGATGTACAGGGACAACACTCCAACCAACTGAGCCACCCCAGCCGGGGCTCTCGTATAATTTTTTAAGTGATATTTTTGTTTCACTGGGAGAGAGGGATGTATTGGCTGAAGAAGCAGGGTAGTTGGTAGGGGAGGGAAGCAGAGCAGGTGAGTTGTGCTTGGTGGGAAGGAAGCACTGGCATTCCCTCACAGGCCCTCAGGGAGGAATAAATACCGTGGCTGCACTCACCTTCTAGATGTCACACAGCATTCTCCCACCTTTTGCCAGCCTCTGGGGCCAGAGGTCCCTCAGCACATGGCAGGGTCACTCATTCTGCTGACTAATCAAGAGCTGGTCTAACCCACCTCTGGTTCCCACTTAGCTGGCCACTGTGGGCTCCAGGCTAAAAAACCTCCTTTGTGCTGTTCTTCCTGTTGTGCTGAGAAAGAAGAGAAGAGTGAGCGCCGGCTGGGGATGGGTCAAATCAATAGGAGCAGAGTATGCAAGTGTGGCACTGGCTGGCTCCCGGTGCTGGTGCCGGTTGGCCCTCGGCTTGCTGACTCAGTAGCTGCCCTGGCTCTCGGAGTCTCTAGGGAACCTATGCAGCTGCCCAGAGCCTGAAGAGAAATCAGCGCCCTCGATCCCATGGGCCCTTCCCTTCTGTGCAGCCTCCTTTAGCCTTACGTGCTCAGTCGCATGTGCATGTGGTCGGCTGAATGTAGCTGCAGGCCGACCACTCGGGATGGTGGTAGTTGGCAGCATCTTCATCTTGTCAAGCTGGGTGTTTTGCACTACTTAGGAGAGCCCAGTGAATGGAAACCAAACCACCTGAGGAGTTAAAGCTTGGAAGATAAGTGTGTGGAAGGACAATAAATTACAACCCTATTAGAATTGTAAGAATTCGCCGCAAGAAAGAGAGAAGGGCCTCGGCCTTCTTGATGTGTTTTAACATATCCAGGCTAAGTAGCGTTAGCTGACTTTTCAGCCCCGTTTGAAGACTGCTGGGGAGGCTGTGAGCCTGAGGTTGGAATATGCTCCCAGCTCCGGAAGGAATCGTGGCTGCTCTACATCTCCAGGAACCGTGCCCACTGGCCTGGAACTTACTTCTGTAAAAAGAACAAGCAGCCGTGGTGCGTTCCCACTGCGCCTTCCCAAGAACACTTCTGGGACTTCCCTCTTGGTAGTCAGTGGAAGTTCTCCCTTGCTGGAGGGGTAACAGAGCCTTTTAAAAAGAGAGTGGTTGGGTTTGGTTTTGTTGTTTTTTTTTTCCCCCACATTGAAGAAAGTCTACAGCTGACTATTTTCTTTTCCTTTGACCTCTTTAAAAACCAGCTGGAGTTGCAACAGCTCTGCTGAAATGTTATATGACCTTTTGCTTCAGGGACTTTGAAACGAGAATTGTTGATTTTTCCTCTTTCCTGTCAACCTCTGTCCTATTTCCCTAGTGTTTTTATATGCACTGCCTGGATGCTTTTGAATATAGTAACTCTTGGTGTAGAAGGCCTTTCAAGTTTCCCTGTGACCTGAACTATAGGTATATATTATTTCTGAAAACAAGTAAACCCAATTTAGAGCAGAAGCAGAATGGCTTTGTTGTCAGCAGAAGGGGAGACTCCGCAGGGCCCAGAAGCGCTGCAACGTCTGCTGTGCAAACAAGGCTTCTGCCAGGCGTGGAAACATCCGTGTCCCCAACAGACAGACCTCTGTGTTATTTAGGCACCATCCAGGATCTGAGTGTCTGTTTGTTATCCAAAGGGTGTAAAGGGAAATCAAACATTCTTTCATATCAGTATAAGCCCTGTGCAAACACAGCCCCATGGACAAAGCCCTTTCCTGGGCCCATAACAAGGAGCTGTTTGTCCTGGCTGCCTGTCTTTACCAGTCAGGAGCAGGGCTGAGCTCAGCTGAGACTGGCGTAATGTGTGTCGCTGCGATTTTGTCCTCCTGGGCCAAAGTTTCACAGGTGTCATGGGACAGAGTTCACCATGCGCGAGTTGAATCAGAGCCCCCGTTGGGAGCCTTCAGCAAATGCCACATCCAGCAGGCTCTGAGCTGTGAAGTAACCTGACAGAGCAATTGCACCGAGCCATGGAAAAGCCAAATGATAGTTTAGTATGATTGCCTTTGTGCGCAGGGATTAGCTAGTCACAGATGCCAGGATCTGGACTCGTGTCTGCACCTGAGGCAACCAAAGAAAAAGCCTGAGCTCAGCATAAAATACCGTCATCGCCCTCCCCTGAATAACACACACATAATACACATAGTTCTGCAGCTTCTGAATATTAATGAGGGCTTGGGTTCTTCACCCAAAAATATTTCGATCAATTTAACTCAGAACCACCTGCCTATTTTCCTGATTCCTCAGGTTCTCTTGAGCCCATTTGTTCAGTTCTCCAGAGCCATGCTGGCCAGTGCAGTAGCCGCACACCGCATGTGGCTATTGAGCCCTAGAATTGTGGCTGGTTGGTGATGTGTTGTAGGTATAAGTGATCAGATTTTGAAAATGTAGTACCCCTCACAAAAGTAAAATATCACAGTTTTATATTCATTACATGTTGAAAATAGTTTGGGTCTATAGGGTTCAATTGACTATATAATAAAATTAATTTCACCTGTTTTCACCTATTTTAATTCTTTTAATCAGTAGCTACTAGAAAATGTAGAATCGCAGATGCAGCTGGCATTGTTTGTATTGGACAGCGCTGGGCTGGAGCTTGGAAGAAGTGTAGGTTTAGGGCGCCATCTGCTGGTCCGTCTAAGGCAGCCGTGACGTAAGCAAGAAGGAAGCGGTCAGCGCTAGGAAACAGTTTGTCTCTTGGCAGAGCAACATGCAGCCTGCCTTTTCCAGGAGCTTCTGAAACGGAACCAGAACTGAACCCTCAAGTCCCTGCGCATTGATAAGGGTCTTGGAGAGGGTAGTGTCAAACTACTGGGAGGTGCAGGCCTGTGCTTACCTCTTAAGTACTAAGGAGGCCCTAGAGAGCTGCGGTTCTTAAGTATTTCAACCTGCCACCGGGTTGTAAGCAAGCATTTAACAACATAAGGGGGAGACAGATCCATCCCTCAAGAGACCAGTGTCCTCTGTTTGGATAATGTTGACTTGCTTTGATTTGTCAAGAGCTGAAAGTAGAAATGTTGCTGCTAACAGTATCCGCATCAGTTATCTATTGCTGCTTAACAAATCACCCCAACTTTGTGGCTTAAAACAGCAGAAATCATTTAACATCTCCCGCTGTTTTGTGGGTCAGGAATTCAGACGTGCCCCATCTGAGCATGTCTGGCTTGGGAACCGCATGAGATGGAAGTCAGACACTGTCTGGGGCTTCCGTCATTTGAAGCTTTGACTGGGCCCGAAAAATCCACGCCCAGGGTGGCCCATTCCCGGGACTGGCACGGCGATGCCAGCTGTGGGCTTGCAGCCTCGGGTCTTCTCCCGTGGGCCTCTGCAGGGGGCCGCTGCCGTGTCGCAGAGGCAGAGCTGGTTTCCTCCAGAAAGAGCAATCTGGGAGGCCTAGGAGGCACCTCAGATGACTTGACCCCCAAAGTTACACACACCACCCCTCCTGCTGTGCTGTATTGGTCGAGGCAGGAGTGGGCGTCTTCTTGACAGAGGAAGGTCAACATCATGTTGTAAAAGAAAATGTGAGGTGGAATGACTGTTGCACTTTGGGAAAGTATTATCTGCCCAAGCGCCTAACCACTGAAGAGCACTGTGAGGCTAAAAAACATGACCTATTTTACAGACGAGTAAATTGAGGGCCGGAGAAGTAAAGTAACTTCCCTGAGGTCTCACGTCTGGTGGGAAGGACACAGGCCCGGTTCTGAGTCCTTGTCCGCGCTGGTGTGGCCTACCCAGGTCATCTCCCTGTGTCCCCCTTCTGTATGCTGTGGTAACGGGGTCACGCTCAGCGTTCCATCTTTCCAGCATCTTCAAGGTGTGCAGTGTTTTAGGTCATTCTTTAGGTGATCTCTTTCTAGAAATAGTCGAGGGTTTTTTATTTGAGGCTCAATGGAAGTAGGTTTCAACTAACTAGAGAGCCCTTCCTACAAAAGTGCTCTAGCAATGAAAAGTACACATTTTCTAACATTTTCCATGCTGCTTGCTTCAAAAATCTCAGGAATGATAACCACAGTATAATTTGTGTGATCACAGTCTATTTGATTATCTGACCATTACATCTTATTTATATCTGAAACAGGAAATAATTAACCACAGCTCGTTTTCAGTATTTTCATATTACTTGATCACCTTAAAAAGGAGGTTTTGCCGTGTTTTGATGTTCTACCTGCCAGAATTAAAACTAAAATCCAGCTGCCATAATCATTATTTGTTATTCTTTGTTTCAGGTCAAACTTCCCTTTCCTGTAGATCAAATCACAGATCTTCCGAGGAACGATTTCCAGATGATGATTAAGATGCACAAACTAACCTCAGAACAGTTAGAGTTTATTCACGATGTTCGGCGGCGCAGCAAGAACCGCATCGCAGCCCAGCGCTGCCGCAAGAGGAAACTGGACTGTATTCAGAATTTAGAATGTGAAATCCGCAAACTGGTGAGTTGACCCATCTGTTGCTGTCAGCAACCTGGAGTGACCAGGACTGATGCAAAGTTATAGTAGTGAAGGCTGGAGAAGTGGAAAGAAGGGTCACCATTCAGGGAACTTGGGGTTTATTTTTAAACAACTTTCTTAACAAAAATAATAGCGTTATATCTGCAGTGGGTGTATCTGTGTGTGTGTGTGTGTGTGTGTGTGTAATCACATGCTGATATTTTGTATAGGGGTAGTTCTGTTTTATTTTCCATTTAACATGTTCTAATAGCTAACATTTATTGCATATATACATGGACCAGGGATTATTCTACAGTATTTGTGTAGATGATCATATTTAATCCTCACACCAACCCTACAACTTAGGCACTATTTTATCTCCATTTACAGAGGCAGAAACTAGAGCACAGATGGGTTAGTAACTCCCCACTGCTGATTCCAACTCTTGTGTTGTTGTTGTTGTTGTTGTTGTTGTTTTTAATCCTCACCTACGAATACATTTATTGACTTTAGAGACAGAGGAAGGAGGGAAGGGGTTGGGGGAGAGAGAAACACCCATTGACAGCCTAGGAATGTGCCCTGACCAGAATCGAACCTGCATCCTTCTAGTGCATGAAACAGTGCTCCAACCAATTGAGCCACCCCAGCCAGGGTCCAAATCTTGTGTTGTCACTGTTTCTCTCTTTTGCCTCCCACAGAAGAGTGGAGGTTAGAGTAGCACACCTGCCTGTATCCTACCCTGATCTCCTGAAGCCCTTCACAGCCCCAGGATACTTGATTTTGCAATTCTGCCTTGAAGAGGCTGTCGCTCTTCCTTTGCCTGAGATTATTTGCCTCAGGAAACGAGCTCCCATCCCCCAAGCTCCCCTCACATGGAGCGCTGTGCCCCTTTCTCCTTGATAAACAACCTCAAGCTGTAGGAGTTAAGTCCAGGTGGCCTCGCTGCTGACAGTAGCTTTGGAGGCAACCAGTGCAACCTCATTGGGTTTGCCCTTTCTGCCGGCCACATCCTGAAAACTCAGCTCAGGTGCCGAGTCTGTGTTAGGGGACCGGGGGAGGCCACGTAACGTGGCCGTGATGTACGTTCAGGTCCTCGGGCCGCAGGTAGCAGTCCTTTGCCTCCTGGTGAGCCACCGTCCTCACGCACACCTCAGAAAGAGGAACATGGGACATTTGAAAAGCACGAATAAAGGTTCCGTGTTATCAAGATAGTCCTGGATCCCAGTGCCTATTGTGTTTTGATTTAATTAACACCCACCAAGCAGGGAAAACGTACCCAGCATCAGTAGCTCCGATCACCTGCAAAATAAAGTCCCTGCTCTTTGGCAAGGCAAACGGTGCTGTCCCGATGCAGTCTGCAGCTGCCCTCCGACATCCTTCCACTCCCTGCCTAGAACCTGACCCCTAATCAAATCCAACTGTTGCCCTTCCCCCCCTTTATCTCCTACTCTTTACACCTCTGTGCTCCCGCCTGTTTCTCCTCTACCCTGGTCATCCCTCTCCTGTTTTCTTCTCTAACTCTGCCCTTTATTCTGTGAGACTCAGGGCACTGTCACCTCTCCAGGAAGGCCCCTTCCTGAGTCCATGGTGAGGCTGCGCACCTACCCCTGGAGCCGCGATCTGACCTGTGGCTCCGTGCTCCTCACGTCAGGCTTGCCCCGCCTGCGTCGGGGTCTGCCTCCCCGGCCCCTGCCCGAAGCTGAGGTTTCCCCCAACACCATCAGCACAGACCCATTGAAGCCTCTCAGGAAGTGTCTCTTGCCCTCAAATGTATTGGATATTGCACGTGGGTCATGTTACGATCCCCGCAAGTATGAGCTCAGAAACTAGAGTTTGATCACACACTCTTTATTATTTGGCCAAGTTTTTACCTGCGCAGGGGCCACCTTTCCCTCGAAAGGGAAAACGGCGCGCTGCTGTTAGATTACATGGATTTTTATAAGCAGAGCAAGCAAGCAGGATACAAGGGCAAGAGGTGGCGGTTAGCTATTGGCTGTTTGGTTTTTCTACATTGTTACTGGGGGTGTCACAATTCTTCCATCATCTTGGGGTATTGTTTGTTCTAGTGTGGGTCAACTTGTTCCCCTTAGTCTGCCCATATCCGTATTGTTCTTGCCCTATGCCTCCTCCTTATTCTTGTCGACTCTGGCCCAGCTGCATGGGGGCTGCACCCTGATATGTCTTTCTTGGTATTAGTTCCTCCCTTATCCTCAGCTCTGACCCTGCTTTTACGGGCTGTTTATCTGAGTCAAGGCTCAGCCGTTGTCCTATCTTGTTACTAAGGGAGGCTCTAATTCTTCCCTTCATAAAGTTTGGCCCCTTCAGGTCATGGGATCATGAATTCCTTCTTTCTTTCAAATTTTTATTTAATGTTTTAACAACGGCAAGGCAGTGTTTTAACCCAAGCCACGTAAGAAAGCACAGCATGGCTGCAGGCGAGTGCAGGTTTTCTGAAAGCCTCCTGGGCTTAGGTAGGGAGCCAGGCAAGGCCGTGCCCACAGGCACAAATCATCAGGGTCTTGGGCACACGTCTGCGGGAATTCTGGCCCTTGACTCTTCTTTAGGTGGTCGACTAACTCTCAGCACCCGTATTTGAGAAATGCCGGGCTTCTGCAGTTACCTGCCTTCTCCTGTGATTGTGTGATGCTAAACAAATAATCAAGTCTAACCCACACACCAGTCTAAAGCATTTTGCTAAGACTGTTCAGTTGGGAAACCAAAAGGACATCTCCAAATTCTGCCCCGATTTTTCTGGGAACCCCTTAAATAATAGGCTGCGTTTCACTGCTGAATGAGCATCACATGCTCCTGCTTCTGCCCAAGTCCTGGTGCAGGCTGCCTTTCCTGCAACAAGCGAAAACACTGCTGCCCATAGCATTGCCTTTTCTTCACCCCGAACAAGGGTCAGGGGCTTGGCCATGACACTGTGGCAGAATTTAAGACAGACTCCCTCCTGGAGCTGGGTGGTGTTGCCTCTTACGCTGCATCACCCAGAAGGACCAGCTCGCGCAGCCCCGATGGCCTTGCTTTCTCCCGCCACCCCGTGCCTGGGGTGCTGCGCCCACTCGCCGGGCCTGAGCGGCAGGCTGGATCCAGCGGGGACCACTCGGATCCCACCCGCACGTCCCCGCACCCACGCATGCACTCCGCACTCCCACAGCATCTCCGGCAGCCACGCAGCTTTTGCAAACTTGCAGAATGTATTTCTCTCGCATTGCACTTGTACATCTGTTTATTTTTCATTTTTAAAACATGTTTTCTTGAAAAATTTATAAATATTTTAGCAGGTGCCCTTTCCCCATATAAATCTCTGTCTCTGACACACATGCCCACGCTGCCTGCCAGGCTGTGTTCATGGTACGGCACATACAGCTCCCATGTAGGAGACCCCATGTCGGACATGTGCTCCCCCTCCTCTCCCCCGCTCCTTTACTTTCCCTCCCATCCTCTCCCCACCCGTCCTGCTCACCAGCACTAAGTGTTGGTGAGGACTCGTCTCATGCTGCTGGCGGGGGATGCCCAGTCTCTCCATCCATTTCATCGTGTGCCCCCTGCAGCCTCCTCATCCTCCCTCCTCACACAAATAGTGGTGGTAAAACCTTCATCCGCCTCGCCTCTAAATTCATCTCTCTGAGGAAGAGATGGATCTGAGAATCACAAGAGCCTACGTGGGATTTTCTTTAAGGAAAACATCTCAAGAACCTCCGTCTCCACAGCTCTGTCTGCCCCTTCAGTGTCCTGGGGGAATCGGCCCTCGGGCTTCTCTACGCAGCCCCCAACTGTCCGAAAGGGCGTCGCTGGGGTTCAGTCCGCCTGCCACAAAGGCTGGAGAGCCTGCTGGTGTTGGACAGAACTGTATGAAACTGCCGATGGTCAATTTTTTTTTAATTTTCATTTTTTTAATGTGCTCTCTTTTTAAAAGAAATTTTAGGTTCATAGCCAAAATGAATGGAGCATACAGTTCCCATGTGCACCCTGCCCCCGTGCACTCCCAGCCTTCCCCATTATCAACATGCCCCCCAAGGTGCACCACTTGTTACAGCTGGCGAACCCGTATTGGCACGTCATACTCACCCAAAGTCCACCGTTTCTATTAGGGCTCGTTCTTGGTGTGCATTCTATGGGTTTGGACAAATGTGTAATAACATGATCGCATGTCCCCTCTGTGTTCTGCCTACTCATCCCTCTCTCCACCCACCCACCCCAAATCCCTGGCAGCCACTGATCTGTTCACCACCGTTTCACCTTGGTCAATTAATTTTGACCTTCAGAAATGACAATCTAATACAGCGAGGGGAGATTTTCAGCTACAAGGTTTGGAACCAAGAGTTTTCCAGTTGATTCTCTGCAAACTCCAAATTCCAAGAAACTGGAATCTTGACTCCCAGAAGTTTTCTGGTTGGTGGTGGTTTTTCTGGTCACTTGGCCCGGCCACTGAGAGGGATGAAGAGCTGCCACAGGGAAAGTGTCAGATCAGTGGCCTGTCTGGATGGGCTGCTCGGCTAGGAGATGTGGCAGAAGTATATGCCCAGGCTCCCTGGGTAGATATTTTTTAAGTTTCTAGGTCCTTGACCTAGTCATTCTTGACTATAATGTAGGATGCAAATACAAAAGTTGGAAAGCCTCTAGAAACGAGGTCATGAGTCCTCCAGTTAGTCTTGACCAGGCCTTCTCTTGTCTCTCTGATGTCCAGGTGTGTGAGAAAGAGAAGCTATTGTCAGAGAGGAATCAGCTGAAAGCGTGCATGGGGGAACTGCTGGACAACTTCTCCTGCCTCTCCCAGGAAGTCTGCCGAGACATCCAGAGCCCCGAGCAGATCCAGGCCCTGCATCGGTACTGTCCTGTCCTCAGACCCATGGGTCTCCCTGCAGCCTCCAGTATCAGCCCTGCGCCCTTAGGCATCGAGCAGAACCTTGCCGCCCCCCAGTGTGCGGTGGGGGAAACTGTGTCCTGCTGTTTGGAGCAGGGCTCAGCCCCCCCTGGCCCCCCCTGGGCCCCCAGCAATGCCTCAGAAAATTGTACTTCTGCCCGGAGGCTGGAAGGCACTGACCCAGGAACCTTCTCAGAGAGAGGACCTCCTCTTGAACCCAGGACCCAAACGGTGACCGTGGACTTCTGCCAGGAAATGACCGATAAATGTACAACTGACGAACAGCCCAGGAAAGATTACACCTAGTGGCTTGGCCTGCCTCCCCGTTCTCACACCTCTCCCACCCAGGGGGCGCTGTTCATCTGTTGTCTGGAAGAGCCAAGAAGGAATTTGGTGCACACTACAGAGGTCTTAGCAGCAATACTGTTTCTAAGTATTCCCTCCTCTCTTCACGCAGGAGTGATATATAGTTACCTTCACAATGGTGCTACCCCTTGCCCCGGCAAGGAAAGACAACAGTGATGACACTGTCTGTCTGTGGGTTAATTTCGATCTTAACAGGGATGGACTACAACACCTCTAGGACCCAACCACAGATTTTTTTCAGTGGCCCGTGTCACAAACCCTATCTCAGGAATTTCTTCTGAATGTTCAATTTTTTTCATTGAAGACAGCTTCTATACACATCAAAGTTTTATAGCTAGACTTGTACATATTATATATAATATATAGATAAAATATATATCCATATGCAAAAGTCCTGCATGCCTCAATTTTCTCATTAAAACTGGAAACTTCCTTTCGCATTTACAAACAGGTTCCAACATTCCTCTTCTTTTGTCTCTGATGCTAGAACTAGTTTGGTAACTGTTGACATGGCCCATTTTCTTGCTTCACAGTTCGACTTCAGTTTCTACTTATTTATGGACAGAATTCAATGTTGGAAGCTTTTCTTTTAAGGTTTTACTTCGGACGTCCCTGTTTTGTTTGTTCGGTTTGGTTCTGGCACTGTCCGAGGGTGTCATTTGAGTATCGCGGGCTTGTCTGTCTGTTTTTTGCGGATACTGTACAGTCATGGTCAACTTTGCCACTTGCACTGAGTTTTGGGTCAAACCTATTTTCTTAAATGAAGTTGTGACTTCAGTATAACTCAAGTATACTGTATATTCTTTACTTTTAGTTTAAAAGTAGAACACTTTAGCTAATTGAAAACCACTCAGGTGATAATTATGTAGGAAAAACAATCTTGCCAAATAACGAATTCATCCTAGGATGTGTCGACAATAATCTGCTTGAATATTTTTATATTTCACCTCCTCCCCACCTTTCCCGAAGCGAAGCTGAAATGCAAATAGAGAGTTCAGAGTTGATGCTGGATGTTCAGATTCCTAAGTGGGGAGAGAGTTTGGGCATCTCACTAGAAAGTACATCAAAGCAGTAGGAATCCATGATTCTATACCAGAACTCAGCAGGCATTGACTCCTAGAAATCAAGTTGGAACTGTTTTCTCACCCAGGGAGTCCCATTCATTTCAACACTTCATCAGGCCTCACTTGCTCCTGCAAGTGTAGTGAAGTAAGACCTTCTCCTTTGAAGGACTTGGCTGACCAGAACTGGGCTCCCAGGAGATCTCACCTGAGGGGATTTGAACTGCACCCCAAGGTCCTGCCTCTAAGTGGCGCTCCTGGGCCAATGCAGCTCACCCAGAGTAGGAGAGAGCAGGGCAGAAGTGAACCCGAGGTCTGTCCCTGACACATGCAAAAGCATTTTTCCCCTCCCTTTCTTCCCCAGGTGCTTTGAGTTGAATTCTAAGGTTTTCCGCCCATCTCTTGTCCCAAGGCAGATTTCATTCTGAGGCTTTGGATGCGGTATGGCCAGAAGCCCTCCTTGCCCTTGCCCCCACCACACACACACACACACACACACACACACACACACACGCCTACCCTCACCTGATGATAATTTTCTTGCTGCAAAACTGGTTGGCTTGCAACCCACAGAGAGCAGCTTCCCTCGGCTCTGGGGGCGTGTTGGCCTCTGGCCACGTTTACAGAAGGTGCGCTGAGGTCCCACGGCCACATAGGGGGAGAGTCAGCCCCGCTCCAGCGGGCCTCCAGCCTGGCTGTGGGAAGAGCCCCCAAGGGTTTGATGTGGGGATGGGGTGGTGGGCAGTGGGACTTGATGGTTGACTTTGTTTCTTTATTTGTGCCATTGTTTGGACAATATTAAAGCTGCATGTAAAAGGGGGAACTAGTATATGATGTAGGCGAAAAGTGAAATCATAGTAACATATGTTTTAGTATTATTAACTTTTTCTGTACAAATATTAGCGCTAAATGTTTAAATATGTATGATTGCCAGAAATCTGTTGGTTCATGCAGTAGGATTTTTTTTTTAAGGCTTTTCTTTTAAACTAGCTCCACTTTTAAAACCTGCCTCTGGGTTTTCGTTCTTTCTCGTGTGTGTGTGTGTGTGTGTGTGTGTGTGTCTGTGTGTGTCTGCGCGTGTGTGAGTGTGTGCGCATGCGCGCGCACTCCTACTGGAGCCAGCGTCGCTAACACGGTTGCTGGAATTGCTTGGCCCAGTGCACCGGGTCTGTGCTTCGCCGTGAGGTTTGCCTTTGTGGAGAAGTCGTGACAGCTCAAATTCAGGCTCATTGTGAATCACGTGATCCATCACAGGTATGTGTTCTGGTGGAGTCAGCCAACAGTATTTTGGTTTTTTAATTCTTGTTGCCTTTTTTAAATGACCTCCTTTTCTTTTAAAAAGAATGTTTTCTGCTCGTATAATAACCAGGTCCAAACCAACTCGTTGACATGCTTTACCCTGATAACAACTCATGTGCAACTGGTAGTCTTGACCACATTCCGCCCACCCCGCCCCCAGTCTGGGGGCATCCCATCGGCGCACACCTGTGCAGAAGCCATTTCCGGGTTAGGAGGGGCTCTCTTTCTTTCTCTCCACCCTAACTCACTCTGCCAATCCCCACCTCACTTTTATTCCTCTCCCAACTGAACCCCTGTCGTGGGAACTGGTTAAAAACACTGCTTGAGAAGCTGTCTTCTGATTTCTTGGAGATCTTTCACAAGCCGTTGCGATTTTGTTCGCTATCCACCATGAACAGTGACTGGTTTTGTGCAATGTGAGATGTCTGTGTCTGTCACTACTCTACACCGTGTGTTTGTCAAAATATGCTTGGGTTAATTCAAAGGGAGGACTAGCTGGGGACCAGAATCCAAATTGCCTCAAGTGGAATTTAAAAACCCAGCCTATTTCCTTTCCCTGGGATCCCTTAGTGAAGCCCATGTCTCTTATGAAAAGGAAAAGCAAGTTAACTGCAAGGAGCAGTGTTTGCACAGCATGGTGACATTTAGTTGTGTTCTTTAGGGTCTTCCTTACCAAAATAAAGGACCTTCCAGCCACAGACTGGTTAGGGGGATCTCTACAACAACCTTTGGGGGGGGGGGTCTCCGAATGTCTAGGATTGGCATGGGTTGTTGAGGCAGGGATAGTGGAGGTGGCCCTGTGACTAGTTAACATCACCTGAATCTAGTCCTCCCCTTGGATCTCCCTTTGCTCTACATGTGTCTCCAGACGACCTCACTTCATTCAGGTTGGTCAGGCTTTGGGCAGGTGAGTGCTTTGCTATATGTGTTTGTTTCTCTGCGTTATCTGGGGGTGCCTTGAATAATTGAACTTCATTACATACTGATTCTGGAACAAAACAGTTGCAAAAAACAAAAAGAAGCTGGCAAAGTTACTAGGCCCTCCTCCTTCTCTTCCGAGTTCCCTAACAATGACTCAGGCGTCAGAGGTGATGCTGCAGTAGAAAATGTTATTTTGTATATTGTACAAGTAATTTATTAACTGTCTTTCTAAAAGTATGCTGCTTGTAAGATGCACTATGATTTTGGATTCAATCCTTGTATTGCTTTCCCAAGGAAGTAAAAAAAAAAAGAAAAGAAAGAAAGGGAAAAAAAAAAAGAATGGCTAATGATTAGCATGCCAGCTGCTGCTTCTTGAAAAGGAGGGCAGGGAGCTGCTAGAGGACTTGCCTGAGAGGACTGCTAAACGTCAGATGGGCGCCATGGGAAGTGCAGTGCTACTGTCAAGAGCATTGACGCCTTCCCATGTTCTACACTTACTCTTTTACTACTTTATGGTTGCTATTACAGTAGAAGAAACAAACAAAGGTGTGAAAGTTATTAGCCTTTTTAAGAAACCACCAAGTCCTGCCCCTGTGAGATGACCCACGTGCTGGGGAGTAGCAGAACCCTCTCAAAACAAGGAAGGCCTGCCAAGCTCTTTCCAAACCCTTTTCGGCTACCTAGCTCCATACATTAGGCCCCATGTAAACTGGGAGCTGCTTAGTAAATGACTTTGAACTGCTCCACTATTGCTTAGTTTGGGAGGAGTTGTAGATCTAGAAGGAAGCAAGAATCAAGTATTGTTCTCACCACTGTAAATAAACTAAAGAACATAGTTTTTTTTTCTTCTTAAAAAAAATAAAGGTGTTCACTGGATCATGAGTTAGTGTTTCTTCCCCAAACTGAAGACATGGTTGTAGGTTCAGTTTCTGGCAAGTGAGTGCACAGGGCAGTGCCCTGTGTGGGGCGGTATCTGTGCAGGAAGCCTGTGTGCATGGAGGCGTTCTGTGTTCAAGCTGCATGTTTTTAATACTGCCCGAGCCATCTCATGACCCAAGCATCCAACATTGGTGCTGCAGGATAGAACATATTTGTACACAAATAGTGTGTGCAGATAGTATTTGTACATAGAAAAGACCTATTGTGGCAGACTAAGGATAAATTATTCAACTGACGGTGCAAAACATTTCTTGCAAAGAAAAGTAAGTGTATAGTATTTTCCTACACTCCACCCTGGGAGATAATATTTATATCAAAAGACTATCGGTGTATTTTAATTGTAATATGGAAATAATGCTGCCATTTGTGAAGAATACCCACTTGGTTGCAGAGACCTACTTTTATAGCTTTGATTTAATGTTGTGGCATGGTGTACGCATTTCACTATCAAGCAATGGATAAGCAACTCTGACTTACATTTTCATTCCAGTTTATTGACCTCAGATAAAACAGTGGCCCCTCTTAGAAGCAGAAGTGCACCAAGACCATTCATTTCAGGTAGACTCGCATTCAGTGCCAAATGCTCTCGTGCGGGCGATCGGACATGTATATCAGGAAAGAGCAAAGGGACTTGGACAAAGAGGGTTTTTCCTACAGATTGATGCTAAGTCTTCTACCAAAACATGTCTGGAGGCAGAGGGGTGACCTCTACTTGAGCCCCAACAATGCATTTTGCATGTGTGAATGCTGGAGTGCCCATTCACATTCTGACGTAAAAGACCTGCCACTTCTAGTGCGTGATCAGGAAGATTCCAGATGCATTTGGGAGCTTCAGGTGCTGGTTAGATGCCACCTTTGCTTGTGAGGCCGAAAGGGCCTGTGCGAATTTGTTCCAGAACCAGTCTGATGCAAGTGCACCTCTAATATATGCCTTACAAACTCCAGAGGCCATATTCAAAACAGGGTCTTCTCAGCGTATGCAAGGGGCCGCAGCCCCTCCTCTCCTCCTCCCCAGGTCGAACAATACGGACAGTTTTCACACATATCTACCTGTATAACCCTCTGTACCTCTCATAACTGGT